AGGAAGAAGAGGGGGGAAGGGCAACATCAGAGAGGGAGGAGGAAACCAGAGTGGGACACCAGGATTCAAGGGAACTGATACTTTGAGGGACAGGAATGCCACTGCAGTGTGATCAATAGAGATGAGAATGGAGAAAAAAGTCTTGGCTTGGCCAGCACCGGTTTGGCTCGGTGGATAGAGCGTTGGCCTGCGGACGTCAGAAAATATTAAGTAATACCCATAGAAGTAAACATGAAGAGGGAGAAAGTAATGAGACAGCCAAGATGCAAAGGGAGCTGAGGAAGAAAAGGGGAGAAGGGCAACATCAGAGAGGGAGGAGGAAACCAGAGTGGGACACCAGGATTCAAGGGAACTGATACTTTGAGGGACAGGAATGCCATTGCAGTGTGATCAATAGAGATGAGAATGGAGAAAAAGTCTTGGCTTGGCTATTAGGTTATTATCAACATTCCAGGGTAAGCTTTTAGAAGAGAATAGAAACAGAAGCCAGATTTTGTTGGGTAAAGTCTGAGTAACCATTTGTCTCTAAGTTGCTAATTCTGATAAGAGTCACCCATCAGGCAATGCAAACATGATAAATAGGCCAGATGTGAGAAGTAATAGAGAGTGGGGAGGTCTGTGGCAGACTGACGGTCAGCATTGCCTGATCTTTTAATTTTCCAAAATAAGCTAGAAAACCAGATATCCAGATTTCTAAATATTAGTTCAATTAAAAAAAAAATAAAACAGTTGAGGGCCAACTATAATATACCCGTGGGCTGAATTTGGCCTACTACCAGTTGCTAGACTCTGGAATTCTCTTTTCCGAAGTATAGAAGTGAAATGAGGAAGCATCTCAAAGAAGAAGCAAAAGTTAGGGATGGTTTAGGATTGTAGGTGAGGTGTGTGTGTGTGTGTGTGTGTGTGTCAAGGGCTGCTTGTTTTCTGTTTTCTTGGGGTGGGGAAACATAAACTCACTAAGGAGGAGGATTAAATAGAGAGAAAGATCCAATATAATCAGAGAGCTGTCTGGAAAAGGAAAGTGCCAGTGGGAGTGGGAGGAATGGGATTAGGAGGCCAATTATTAGAAAGATGAGATGATGCAAACAGAGTGATAGGACAGTTAGGAGGGAGTGAAGAGAGCCTACCTTGAGGTCAGAGGGCACATTGTATGCCAAGAGGGGAGTCAAAGGAGCCTGGAAGCTAAAGAGGTGACTGCTTAGGGGACAGACTGCAGCAAGAACGTGGGACAAGTAGGATTGCAGAGCAGCCTATGCCAAGAGGGGAGTCAAAAGGAGCCTGGAAGCTAGAGAGGTGACTGCTTAGGGGACAGGCCGCAGCAAGAACGTGGGACAAGTAGGATTGCAGAGCAGCAGTGAGGACCCAGCTGGCTTTCATTATCCTTTAGATTTTAAGTGAGCATCTATTTATGTGATACCACTAGACCAGCGGTTCTCAACCTGTGGGTCTCGACCCCTTTGGGTGTCGAATGGCCCTTTCACAGGGGTCGCCTAAGACCATCGGAAAACACGTATATAATTACATATTGTTTTTGTGATTAATCACTATGCTTTAATTATGTTCAATTTGTAACAATGAAAATACATCCTGCATATCAGATATTTATATTACGATTCATAACAGTAGCAAAATTACAGTTATGAGGTAACAATGAAAATAATTTTATGGTTGCGGGTCACCACAATATGAGGAACTGTATTAAAGGGTCGCGGCATTAGGAAGGTTGAGAACCACTGCACTAGACGATAACAGATACAATACAAGATACAGATTAGAATGAGACTTAATTGCTGCTTCTAAGAAGTTATGGCCTCACCATGGTCTATAGCTCCAACCTGACCCAATGGACTAGTTTCCCACATATTATGCATCACCTGCTACCATCATCATATCTGTGAATTAGCTGTGCTGTTATTTGCCATATTTGTGAATTATCTGTACAATCATTTGTTCAATAGTTTTCTTTAAATCATCTCATGTATTATATGTAGGCTGAGGCAAAAGTAGGTCTACAGTTGTGAGTATGCATATTTTCCATATGAACCACTGAAACTTACTTTTGCCCCACCCTATATAAAAATGAAAAAGAGAAAAGTGATTTTATATGTTATTTGCACTGCTACAGTATACTTTTCAAATATGTATTTTTAAAACATACAAAAAAATTTGACATTTTGCCAAAAGTTTATCGCCATTCCACCTAAAATAATTTTTATATCACAAGTAGGACATATATCATGTCTTGGGAAAGATGGGACTAGTTAGTTGGTTGAGTTCCTTAGGTCATTTAAAGCAAGAATTTTTTCATGTGGTCTTGGTTTTTTTATTCAGGCAGGTCTGAATAAAATGGATAAAAGCAGGCATCTGTTTGTTTGATGCTATTTGAATACCAAGAAGTTTGGAGCTTGACTGCAGAAACTTCCAAATTAATCTGGTTTCGAAAAAAATAAAATGCTGTCAAGTAACAGGAGGTTTGTCAGTTGCCCTGCTTACACTTTTCATATAAAACATAAAGGTTGGCAGATTATAGATGAAAGGTCAGTTCAGCAAAAAAAGAAAATATGTCAGACAATCTCATAACATAGGTGACAGAAAATGGAAGTTGGAAACTACTATTGGATTCTCAGGAAGAGATGAGTTTGTTGGCAGTGTGTAAATTTCATCACGGTTTCTGCGGCTGTTCATTTTGGTGGCTACTTCTTTATGTCGCGTCTCCCAATTTGATTTAAACGACCCCGAGGAGTCCTATCTTCCTGAGGAAGATTTACTTTGCAGCAGTTTTACTTTATTTTTTTTACACTGGTCTGAAGGGGAAACATGTACTTCCTTTTGCCTTGCCTCCCAATCTCACCCTTGCCATCTCTGAACCAAAGCTCTAAAATGGAAAAAGCGAGAAGCCAAGCCCTCTTGCAAGAGCGGTGGTGCATAAAGAAAAGGCTTACAGTGAGTCCATCATCATGAATGATTAAAGGGAAACCGGGCAGCTACAGTGTGACTTGTACAAATACAGTTGCTCAAAGATTCACGCTGGTAGGACCTGCCTTGGAACAGATTACCGTCCAGGAAAACGTTCCAGCCTCGGGAACACGGGTGAACCTGGGTGTGTCGTGTTAAGCCAGTGGGGTCACAGAGCCTTGATATTAGAATTGTGGGGCATCTCACAAGTTTCCAGCATGCGTAGTGCTTGGAATTTGCAGCCTGTTATGTAACTTTCATCTGTATTTTGATTGCAAGGAATTGTGCAAAATATTATCATTATCCGGGTAGTTTACAATATATGCATTGCACTCCTTATTGCATTATGCTAGTGCAGATTATAAGCTCACATAAACATGCATTTGAGAGAAGGTTTCTATTTTCCACAAGCTGTCCACCTTGCAAATAACTGAGGCCAAAGGCATGTCACAGCATCCTGGGCTGGTAGCCAAGGATACCCATTGACACTTGGCCACTGTGTTTTCAGTTCCACCTTTCTCTTATTTTCTGACTCCTTCGTCGCTCTCTTTAGCCTCCCCATTAACCTACATGCTGTATATGCTATTTTATTACTGTTAGACGCCTAAAAAGTGGAAGCCAAAGAAAAACCAGTAGCATTACAAAGCATATTTTAGCAATCTTAAAAATCCCTTCACTGTTGGCAGATACATTTGCAGTGTGCTACTGGGATTGTGGACTTCACAGTGTAATCCCTACAGTTTGCATTGCTGAAATCCATGTGGACCCATGACAAAATTTGCCCCCCCCCCAAAAAAAAAGAATTCTCTTCCCCACTAAACTTCATTAATTAAATCATTGACTCTGGCTTGCTGGTGAGGACCAGTTCTTTCCAAGTGTATCCAGTGTCCTGCTTGTGGTAACTTTCACTCTTCCTGGGATAGCAGGGAACATTCATTTTGCGTTGGACCCAGGAGCCTCGGGAAGCTGGAATTACAGGCACCATTGTCCCGCCCTTTTTTCCTTTCAAAATAAAATGAAATGAGTAGCAGCCCAGCGGTGAGGCTTGAGGAATGGGTAATGAAAACGAATAGAAAGGGCATTAATTTCAGGATGGGGACAGCTGCCCGACACTATCTCCCTTTGGATTTTGGTTCTTATAGCATCACGGTGAGTTATTAATATGTATGATCTGTACTTTATTCAAACATTATAAATCTATGCAGAAGTCTGGTGTTTGGGTTTTCCTTTATAGCTTTCATTCTTCTTCCCAGAATTATCTCATTTCGATCGAGAAACTTTTGCATAAAAAGCACACACCGAGAACTCCCATTTCCATTCCATAAATATTAAAAGGGGGTTAAGCTTTACAGTTTCTTTTCCCATCCCCAGTGGGTGGAAAGTTAGCCTGCTAATGGGGGGAGGGAGAGGCATTATTAATGTTCTTTTTATTCCTGAGTCCAAAGGTAGACTTTAACTTACATATGAAATTATATTACGGAGTTCCTTTCATTTGTTTAAATTGTGGAATGCTTGGCTGTGCCACGTTTTTTATATGAAGGATATGTTAAAAATCTAGCAGTTATCTAAGTTGTTAAGAATAGTTGGTTCACATATATTTTATTAAAGTACGGTTGGCGTGCAATATTATATTGGTTTCAGGCATAAAACATAGTGATTCTTTGTCTACATGCCTTACAGTGTGGTCTGCTTATTTTTTGAGGACTAAACCAAGTCCAGACCTCTTTTAAGGATCGTGATTTAAAGTGTTTTTTGCTGGATTCATCACAGTGACTCTGCAGCATACAGAAGAGGGAAATGGAACCAGAAAACTTAATGTCTTCTTAGTAGCTTTTTAGCTTCTTAGAAGCTTTCCATTTCCCATTTATTGTCATTTTTGTTAGCATAAAGGAGTAGTCATAAATTTTGGTTCCCATGGAAATATGAAGGAATGCATGAGCTATTTCATTTGGGCATACCGGCTGCTAATCACGCAATCTCGGCTGTTGTACTTCGTGATGGGAAATGAACGTGCTAATTGGTGCTCTTTTTTTTTCTTCTTTCAGGAAACCTGCCGTATGAATATAAAATAGTGATTGCTGGGAATCATGAACTGACATTTGATAAGGAATTCATGGCAGACCTCGTTAAACAGGACTACTACCGTTTCCCCTCTGTGTCCAAATTGAAACCAGAGGACTTTGACAACGTTCAGTCCCTCCTGACAAACAGTATTTACTTACAAGACTCGGAGGTAACAGTGAAGGGATTCAGGATATACGGTGCACCTTGGTAAGTGTTCATTCGAAGAGTCTTGCCCTCTGAATTGCTCAGCGCTAAGAAAGCGTGGTGCATGCAGACTTTGGTGCTTTAATGAAAAGGACGAGGCTGCAAAGAAACCTTCTTGCTGATTTTCGGACAGAGCACCTCTGTCTGGCACTGCTGGGGAGGACCGTGTTTATTGTTTGCATTGTGATGCAGATGTCTTTAGGCAATATCGATGGGAGCTGGGCTTTGGCAGATGTGGGTAAGGCTTCCTTGTGCCTCAGTGGAACCAGACGGATTTGGGGCAAGGTCTCCATTGTTCCTCTCCATGCAGATTCAGCTACTCTGAACATTCCATCAGCCTTCGGTCACTCATTTCCCTCTCAGCTGATAACTGGAGCACTCATAAAATACCTTGCTTAGATTGGGGTTTCTCAACTCTGACTAATACATCAGAATCACTAAGTCTGACGAAATACAGATTTTGAAGCCCTGCCCATGGAGACTGATTCTGCTTCCTGAAGTGGAGCCCCGGAGTCCGTGTTTTTCAAAAGCGGATGCAGCGGCAGTTAGGAAGTCACAGGCTGCGAGCGCAGTCCTAGAGTCCTCAGCACTGAGATCTAGAAAGCTGGGAGCAGGGGCATATTCTTTGGGGCCAGTCAAGAAGTATGTTGACCTTGGCTCTATCAGTCATCAGTTGTCTGGTTTTGAAGAAGCTAATTGACAGAGTTTGAGCCCCAGTGTCTGCATCTCTAAGGGGGTGAAAATAATACCCACTTTAGAGCGTTATGATGAAGATTAAGTCACGTGACATTTGCAATGGATTTAGAAGAGTCCCTGGTGGTTTGATTAGGATAATAATTAATAATTTCCTGGCCTTGGCTCTGCCGCTAAATATTTATAGGGTCTGGAGCCTTCAGAGCCAGATTTTTCATCTTTAAAATGGGACAGTTCAGATCATCCATATCAAACAAGTCTTGGGTTTTTATAATTTATGTAATTTTTAAGCATTCCATGTGTATATAGAGCAGAAGAATTAATTTTTACCACCCAACCTGGAGAAGTAATCCAGCCTTGCCCCAGGAGTTGCAGGTTAAGGCTGGAAGAGGACAAAGAGAGTACATTCAGATTGGCTACCCCATTCGACAGTTTGGTTTGTCCTCTGTAGCATAGAAAGTTGAGATATTTTCTATTTTATTTGGCATCCAAAAGGACTGATGAGTGGGTACAGGAAGTATATCCGTGTTAAAATCAGCCTGGCAATGGTTTTGAACTCTTAACTGAGTCCTTACTATGCATGCCAGGCACTATTCTAAATCCTATTTCTATCTAGTATCTTCTTTATTCAAAAGACCTTTCTTTAAGAGATAGGCACTGTTATGATTCTTATTAGGCAGATGAGAAAACTCGGGCACAGAAAGGTTGAGGAACTGCTCAAGAATCACACAGGTACCAAATGGCAGCCTCCTGATTTGAGTCTGACGGCAGGGTACATGGAATGGCTGGGTGGCGGTGGTCATGGTGTGGGAATCAGAGGTTATTATCTGCAGTGGCTATACCCAGCTTTCTTGATGTATATCAATTAATTACGTTATATGTGAGAAGGCGGTAAAGGGAAAAGAGAATAAACAGCAGAAACTAGTCTTATTAAACAGGAACCTGAAAACGGACCTCAGGGTAGAGTGGGAGGTTGATATGAGCATTTCTGGGTAAACAGTAGGAGAGAGAGGGAGCGTTTCAGCTGCTTTTTCCTGACTCTCGGGTAGTTGAGGCATGACCTCTGACTGACAGAGAAGCTCTGTGTGGAGTCCCGGTCATTTATTCAATAACTTCAGATGATTTCAGAAACATCTTCAAAGGGCACAGAAGACTGAAGGCTACTCCTGAACATGCAGGACTTTCCGAGATCCCTGGGTTGATAGTTGCGGAAGTGATGATAGCAAACAAACTTCCTCCCTCTCTGTGCAGACCCAGACCTGTGTAGCGTCTGGTTTAGCTAAATCAGATTAGGGCTGTGATGAATGAGGGAGTGATTTTGGATCCTGGGGCAGATTTTGGAGCATCTCAAGAAATAAAAAACATACCATTGTAATTCAAATATGGGATGTGATGACAGGTAATTCATGTTTGGTGGTGGTACAAACTTCGGACAAAGTTTATGTCTGCACTGGATTCATATTATTCAGGAATTTTATTTGAATATTGGAAAAGATGGTAAAGTCAAGAAAATAGGCACCATTAGCCATCTGAAATGTTGTCTTGAGGTTGGTTTTGTACATATTTTGTTGGGGTTTCCAGAAAGTTTGAACTACTTCCTGCCTAGCACCTCACTACAGCAAAGGAGATCTTTATGTGGAATTTGTCTCATCCATAGGAATTGTTGCTACTTTGTCTTTTGACGAAAAATGCAGAGGTTGGTGAAAAGGAAATTTTAGTCTCATCCTATATTTTGGAGGCTTCAGGAATTTGGATCTTATTGTGAAGCTGTTTTGTCCAAATTAATATTCCCAGGACTGTTGATCATCTGAACACTGACTTAGGGAAGCTTCCAGGAGCATTTCTGTTCAGGGAGGGCAGATTTTCCCAGATATCCCACTTACTCAGCTCTGGGACCTGGGGTGCGTTTTTGAACATCTCCATGCACCTGTTTGCTCATCTCTGAAGTGGGAGATAGCAGCCTGACGTCCCTCACGCGGTTGTTAGAAGGATAGATGAGTTAATGCATCCGCAGCACGCAGAAGACTTCCTGGCATCGAGTAAGGCTTTGAGAAGCTGTTACTGATATAGTGGGGTTGGTGTTTCCAGTCTATTTTGTACCTTTGTCCACTCCATACGAAGACTATTGCACTAGGAGTCTGATGGGGTGGGTTCTAGCCTCTGCTGATTGGGTGACAAGGTGAGTCTCTTAACTTCTCTCTTGTCAAAAACAGGGGCAATGGGTTCTGCACTGGTCTCTTCCTGTGCCACTCACTTTAACGTCACCAAAGTCAGAATCTTCAAAGTTGGGATTTTGCGGGCCTGCTTTATTATTTTGATATCTTATATACATTTTTTAAACCTCTTTCGCTATTAAGAATTCAACTAGAAGCTAAGTTACCACTTTTCTCGCTTCAGAAGTTAGGTTTTCCCTTCCCTGTGATTCTCCCATTGGTGAATGCTTGCTTAGTAACCCATTAGATATTGTAACCCCCCCCCCCAAAAAAAAAAAAAACTATGGGAACAGGTTTACATTTGATTTACATGCCTTTCCAATGACTTTTTTTTTGTTGAGGAAATATTAAGTTCTCTGATTTGCTGATTTGCTAGTGGTGCTAATCGATAAAACAGAAATCAAAATAAGAACCTAGATACTAAAGATTTCCATCCTGTCATGGGTTTCTCAAAAGTAATTGCCATCTGACCAGGAAGATAGCTATGACTCATGTATCTAAAAACTGTGACTTGGTCTCCTACAGAAAAGGAATATTAGTCCACACTCATTACATGCTTACAGCTTGTAATATTACAAGTTACAAACATGTAAGGAGAGCTTCCTAAAGATCAGGGAGGATGAAAGCAGTATCTCCTGATTTACCATGTAGTGGGAACATGTATGTGGAAAATAACAGACAACTGCAGCGCTTTCACGTGTGTTTACAATTGGAGTGCACGGTACTCCTTAGATGCCCAAGGGAGGCAGTTTGGTTATGGTTTGTTGTGTCTGGGGAAATTCAGTGGCCCACACTGAAGACGTTGTAAGTGGGGTGCCTTGTCAGGGAGAAAGGTGCTCCCCTGGAAGGAGGATGAAAGTTGATGCCTTCCTGGGGACACCTCTGCCCCAAGAGGCCTTTTGACAGCTTCTTGTGGCTTCTGTCTATTTTCCTTCACCATCTTGTTATTCCAGGAATCTTAAAGGGATCAGGCAGGATGTGCTGTCGTCTTTGGGAGCCGCAGTTCAGCCACACCTTTTCTTAACTTCTCCTGTTATGTTTTTCTCCCCCTCCTCGGGGGACAGAAGAAAAGGGTCTGTGTTGCAGGCAGCTAGGTCCCCCTAGGACTTTGCTGTCCCCACAGGAAAGCTTGTGGGTTTCTTGTATCCCTCGTGTTGATTCTCTGCCGCCAAGTTGCTTCCTGATTTCCTCTTTACGATCACTCAGCTCTGTAACGTCTTTTCCAAAGGCTGAGGATGGTTAGAAAGAGGAGACAACACTCTAATCTGTCCAGTATTAGCCACTGTGGTAACAAACTGCTGGTCTGGCTAGGGTAGAGGGACAGTGGCATTTTTAAATCATTTTTTGTATTTTTGGTTACTGTTCTGTGCAGCCAGCATTTTAGTGCAAGCAAGTTTTGACAAACTCACTCATGGAACTTGGCATTTAAACACTCACTAGCCCCTTCCTTTTTTTTTCTGATTTCAACTGCTCTTTTGTTTCTAAGGTACTGTTTAGAGAAAAAAAAAATCCAGGTGCTAATTGACCAGCAGCCCAGCTACAAAAAGTAGAGTCTATATTGCTCTGAGCAGAGCGGTTGTGGGGTTCGGCAGCAGCCTGCACCTCGGTCCCCTCTTCCACAGCAGTGCAGAGCCGGTCTCCCGTGGCTTTTAATGAATATGAGTGGGGCTTTCCGACGTGCAGGAATTTGATCTCTGGGCTGACCAAGGGGTCAGGAACAAAGAGCACACTTTTTCATGTTAGAGTAGACCCAGGTGTAATTTGTCAGATTTAGTAACTGTGGAGGAAGTGCCTTAACTTCTGCAGCAGGAAAATTAGATCTGGAGCCTAGGCAGCGTAATTCTAAAACGGCTGAAATAGCAAGAGAAGGCCCATAGAGTTGCATTTTCAAAGAAAGTGTGAGTAGGACCCGCCCCCCCCCCTTCTTGCTTCCCCCCATTTAGGATCATAAACATGTTGAGTTCATTCATTCATTGAGATGTAATTTTCTCAGCATTTTTCAAAGTGGGAGTTAAGTGTTGATTCCACTCTGCGGCATTGGTAATTGTGCTTGCATACCAACAGCCACAAGGTTGCTCACGTTTCCTTGTTCTGTTC